GCACCCCGCCCGGCGGAGGAGGGGGAATCCCGCTCTGCCCTCCCCAACGCCACCTCCCCTGGAGTCCTCTGGCACCGAACGAGGCGAGAGAGCGCGCGCGAGCTTCCCAGCCGGAGAGGGTTATTTTTAACCTGCCCCCCTTTCTATATCTGCCTCTCGGGTTTGCGCGCCCGCCCGCCCGCTCCACCAGCCGAGGACGCGGGCTCCTCACCTCGCTCGGCGGCTCCGGACTCTGAGCGCCTCCCCCGGCCCGCGGCCCCCGCCCCTGCGCGGGCATCGCGCGGCTAAATCTCAGCCTGGAAAGGACCGATTAGGAGCCGCGTGCCTTTCTGCGAAATATTGGAACCGGGTGGGATGGGGGCGGGGAGCCCGGCGCTGTCGTCCCTTCGCCTCCCTCTCTCCCTCCCACCCCGCGCGCAGAGTGGTTGCGAGAGGCGGCTCCTGCTCTCCCCCCGCAAAAAGGGGGCGGCCGGCCCGGGGCCCCGAACCCCCCCCCCCTTGGTTTTCGGCCTTCCCTCCTCAACGCCCACCCTCCTTCGGTCATTTGCGAAGCTGGGGCTTCTAACACGCGGACCCTCCGGCAGCGGTGGCGCCAAGTGGGGCGCTGCGCCCCCCCCCATTTCCAGTTTCCTCCCTAAGCCACTCCAAACAAACACACCATTTAAACAGCAGCGGGCTGGCCGTACCAACAACTTTGAGGCTGACCCACCCGTGCCTGCGACCGCGCCAGGGGGCTGGGGAAGTGCCAGGGGCGCACAGTGGGGACTCCCCGAAGGCAGTTTAGTGCTGCCGTCCCCGCTTTTCAGTATCACCCTCCCTTAGACTCACCCAGATCCCTCTCTCCCAGCCCCTTCCCCTGCGGCCCAGCACCCCAGGCCAGCAGCTCAGACTACCCTCCGGCCCCAGTCAGGGAATGAGGCCGCAGGAAGTTCAAGTCGGCTCCCATTACTCTGCTCTCCAAAAGGCCACCCATCCAAACCCCAGCCTGTCCTTCCCCCCAGAGGTGGGGAGCAGCAGCAGAACTGGCTGAGCTCAGAGGCCCCCCTGGGGCTTTGACTGGATCCCTCCCTCACTTGACATTTTCCAGACTGCTCAGTGCCCAATCCTGGAGACCCACAGGCATAGGAACCCGTGAGCACCTCCCTCCTGAAGGAGGTGGGGTAAGACTCCCTGCTGCAGCACAGAGGAGGGAAGGCTGGAGGAAGTGGTGGGCTGAGAAGAAAGGAGCAGGGCATTCCAGCCACCAGGAGCTGCCTAGCTTGGTGGCGGGGAAGAACACCGCCTATTTGGGAACCTGAGATGGAGTTCTCTCTGGTTTAGCTGGGTTGGAGGAGACAGGCCTCAAGGGCTGGGCCCCTACCCCTAGGGCAGCCTGTGGTGGGGGGTGGAGATTCCTGCAGAGAGGTAAGAAGCCTGGCAGGTTCCTAGCTCCTGAGAGGGGAGGGGGTGAGGATGCCTGTGGAATGCAGATTAAAGACTGCACTGACTCTGAGTGCTGCGCCCGGGACACTCTTGGGCCTGCCCAGGAAGCCAGGCTGGTCCAGAAGGGGAGAGACAGGGACAGAGCCTCCTAAGCAAATGCAGACCCTAGCATTACAGAGGGGGGGTTCTCAAGGGGTTTCTCCCCCAGCCAGCTAGACACTGGGCATGGGCTTCCCTCAGATCTGGAAAGGTCTTGGTAAGGCTCAGACTGCTGGAGCCATGTAACTGCAGCACCCTCAAAAGTTGATGCTGTCTGTCCCCCTCCTGTGTCCAAGGTACCGCAATAGATTTTACTTCTCTCAAACTGCCCTTCTGGGAGGTGACATCACCTGTCATTTCACAGACATGGAAACTGAGCTCCAGAGAAGAGAAGGGGGTATTCCAAACTCCAGCCTCTGGGGCCCTCCCTGGTCCCCCTGTCCTAGGCCCTGTGGGTGGGGCCTCAATCAGGGAGATGCCCGTGGGGCTTTTGTGAATACAGGTTACAGGCACCCCCGGGTAAAATACATGGGCGAGGAGGTCCTGGTTTCCTCTGAAATTTTCAGAAGACTGGTTTCCTTGGGAGACAAAAAGGGTGGGTGGCCAGGCGCGATGCCTCACGCCTATAATCCTAGCACTTCGGGAGGCCAAGGTGGGTGGATCACTTGAAGTCAGGAGTTTGAGACCAGCCTGGCCAACATGGTGAAACCCCGTCTCTACTAAAAATACAAAAATTAGCTGGACGTGGTAGCGTGTGCCTGTAATTCCAGCTACTCGGGAGGCTGAGGCGTAAGAATTGCTTGAACCCAGGAGGCGGAGGTTGCAGCGAGCCAAGATTGCACCATTACACTCCAGCCTGGGGAAGAGAGTAAAACTCTTGTATTTAAAAAAAGAAAGAAAGAAAGAAAGAAAGAAAAAAAGGGTGGGGAGGGGACTAGAGAGAAGTCCCAGGGCCTGCCATCACTGATTTCTCGCTACCCACTTGGCCAGGCTACCTATTAAGGGTTTCCACGTGGGGGGTTGGCTCCTGGGGCTGCAGAATTACGATAATGAGGCCTAAGTCCCCGTGGGTCTTGTTCATTCACCTGTAGACCAAATACAAACCCCACGTAGCCATGTGCCACTCTTCAACTGTGTGTGGCTACTGTTGTGCTGAAAAAAATTAAATTCACTCAGGACCTAAGAGCTTTGGGCAGTTATATCCCCCTCCTCAACAACAGACTAACAGGTCCCATTTTGATATCAAGGGCTGGGGTTTCAAGACGGGGAACTGTAGGGGCCACGCTGTCGTGGCCTCCCCGGAGGCCTGGCTGCCCTCACACCAGGAAGGGAGCTTCCATTTCCTGTGGGCCTAGAATGGCCGCCCCGCTGCCCCCAGTGCTCCCTGGGTGGGGGTGGATCCTGGCCAGTCCCCCAGACACGCAGTCTGCTAACCAGAAGCAGCGACCTTCGGGGAGAGCCAGCCACCAGCCAGCCACTGCTCCAGAGGCAGGCCTGGGGCCACCCGGGAGGCTTTCCTCAGGATGGAAAATATTTGCCTTTAGTTGTCGGCTGCTGCCTTGTCTTGTGTCTGAATGGACAACTGGCTGACTTCTCTCTCTTCCGAACAGCCATGAAATGCGAAGGTGTTTTAAGAGTAAAAACCAGGCGAGGGCAGCTGGGCCTGGCATCTGGCTGTTTTGAACAACACTCCTGTTTTTCTCCTAGAGTGAACAGAATACTTTCTGCGGTTCAGAATACTCTGTGCGCTGGTCCCTCTTCCCAGGCCCCGCCCCAGCCCCCACAGGCCTCACCTCCAGCTGCTCCAGACCATTCCAGAACTCCCTCCCTCTTGGCTTCTAGTCACTCAGCATCTGGGGGAGACAGCCTCTTCCAGCTGTACATGGCTAGCTTGGCCTGGCCCCAGAACTGCTGTGTTCTGGAAAGTTGTAGGAGAATCCCTCTTGGCGGGCTCTCCAGCATGGAGAATCGCAGGCCTCTGCTCCGGAAAGGGAGGCTCTTGAGAGGTCAGATTCACCATGGCCAGGCCAACCAACTGTGAGGGCTCACAGGGGCTGGGGCTCTGGTTTCAGGGGTGAGAGGAGCCACCATCTGCCCCCATGCCCACCCTGACTGTAAATGGCTAGACTCTGGTGCTGGGGACCGCTCTGGATTCATATCCCAGCTCCTGCATACGTATATGCTGGGTGACCTTGGGCGATTTACTTAACCTCTGTGTGCTTTGTGTGCCTAAGCTGCAAGATACTCTAAATTAAACAGCAAACTTCCAGTGCTGTTGTGAGACTAAATGGGATAATGTGCTTGGTAGCTGGCAGAGGCTCAGTAAAGGGCAGCAACCTCCAGGGCCACCAGTTCATCGCGAGCCAGGTCCAAGTCTTGTACTTTCTGTGCCTCCCAGGGAGCCACGTGTGTCTGTGACAGAGCTGGGGAGGACATTCTGGGGCTGGGAGCTGAGGGCTGAGGTCTGCCCACAGAGCAGTGGCCTGTCCCTTCAGGCAGGTAGAGTATCACCCTGGCGGGGTCTCAGTGCTCCTCAAACATTAACGTGTATGTCTTGGTGAGACAGATTCTGATGCAGCGGGTCGGGTGGGACAGGGCTTCTGTAGCTGTAAGAAAATCCCAGGTCAAGCCAGTGTGGCAGGTCTGTGACCGCAGCTGGTGTGGCAAGATCTCAGCTCTGGAAGACTCTGGGTTCTGCTGAGGCTGGGCTCAGAGAGAGAATACAGGTTCTGTCCTGTCCAAGGAGGGCCCTCCAGGATTTCAGGACAAGGCTCTGGCTCTGTGTCCCCAAGCCCTCAGTCTCAAAGCTCGGGTCCCGCAGTGGCCTGGGCAACCCTCCGGACTCTCCATTTAGCATTTGTTCCTGGCAGCAATGCACGGATAAAGAGCAGTTTCATGCTGCTGAACTTGCAATCACTTCAAGGCCTGGGCCCCTCTGGGCCTCAGTTTCCCCAGTGGCACAGTGGGAAGCTGGGATAAGCTAATCCCACCCTTTCCCCTTAGTAATTCCCCCACATTGTTCTTCCCTTCCCTTCAACCCTTCCCAAAACCCAGGTCCGAGGCCTGAGCATCCATCCTAGGGGGTTGGCCCCCATTCCATGACTGCAGTCATGGCGTACAAGACTCATGCAGACTCGTAAGAACGGCCACTTCTCACCTGGGGCCTCGATGTTCCAGGCACTGTCCTAGGCATTTGCATCTACAAATTCCTCACCACAATCCAATCACCACTGTTTTACATATGAGGAAACTGAGGCCCACAGGGGTGAAGCCTATTGCCTGAGATCTTGCAGTTGGTAAAGGTGCAGGGCTGGACTCAGGCCCCCACACACATGCCCTTGAGTATTTGTAAGGGAAGCAGCTGTTTGGTTTTCTTGGCACAGAGCATCTGCCTGGCCGGTGAGGGCATGAGGAAAGAGGTGCCCAATCTAGTTGGGGATGGGAGGGTAAACCGGTACTACCTCTTTGGAGAGTTTTCTGGCAATATGGACCCAAATGCAAATTACATGTGCCCTCTAACCTGGGCCCAAAGTCATCTGCACAAGGCTATCAATTGCAGTGTCCTTTGCAGCAGCAAAACACTGGAGATCCCCTAACTGTCCATCCAAGGGGGATGAGGGAGATACACCTGGGAGGTTCTACTGGCTGAGTACTGAGAGAATGGAAGCACCACATAGATTAATTGGAGCAGTCTTCAAGTTGGTGAAAAAAAGTACAGTGCAGAAAGTGTGTACAGGGCCGGGTACAGTGGCTCACGCCTGTAATGCCAGCACTTTGGGAGGCTAAGGCAGGAGGATCGCTTGCGCACAGGAGTTTGAGACTAGCCTGGGTAACA